GCATAATAATATCATACGACAAACTAAAAGTACTTCAACGTACGTCAATTACGATATCTCTCATTTCTTCAAACTCTTCGGGGTGCAGAAAAGCAGCAAATTCTTCCTTCGTAAGTTTTCCATCACCATCCTTGTCAGCCATCTTGAGGCGTTTTTCATCTCGAGCAATAGTAGTTTTGAAATCATCATCTGAATTAATTTAAGTAATAGATATTTTATGTGAAAACATACCTTCATAATCGTCTTCATCAAAGTCGTCTAAAAGTTTAGCTTTGTGTTGTTCAAAAGTAACATAATCAGTCTTGAATTCTCGAACATGTTCGTCAAAGGTACGTTGAACATCTTGCTCAACATACCTGGAAGCAACATGTTTGAGCCATTTTCGTAATTCTTCTTCTGTGATATAACCATCCTTATCTAGGTCCATTCTGTAGACAATGTCACTAAAACTAAATACTTAATAGGATTATTCATACGCTAATAGCTTTGTGCCTTCCTGTTTGGTCATGGAAGAAGACTGTCCGTTAGTGAGTTCATCCAAACCAACTAGATTTTCACCCAATTTCTGCAAAGGTATTAAACATAAATAAATACTTACGTGGTCGTGAACTCGTGAATTGGGGTCTTGCGGCTTAGCAATGACAAAGGTAATGAGATATGTATAGACCAAAATTTTGGAAAACATTTCCTAAAATGATCAAACAGAATCCTGGCTCAAATTATTGGGTAAAATATATAATGGTGCTGAGCTACATAAACAAAATCGTTTTGATATTCAAAAGCTGTGGTAATTTGGTTTTAATTAACGCATTTCATAGATTGGCTGTTTTTATTTTATATTTGCCAAAATAGCACATTTGTTAACAGAAATTTGGTTTATCCTATTCAAGCTGGAACGATTTCAAGGAACAGTCATTGACTACATAAAATTATATTTTTACCTTATGTAGCTACCTTTTACCTTTCAATCTAATAATTATTAGAAATTTTGTAAAGTTATTTTATAGTTATTAAAGCAACCATTTTAGAAATGATGATATTTATTCTTCGATATTTTCTCCTTACCACAATTAAAAATTTGATCCCAAAGCATTTGCAACAAAACGATCTTCTCCCGACTTTATGCAGCATTTTTAGGTTTGATAGCTATCATATAGTATAGAATCTGTATTGAACAAGTAGATGTATTGCTGTGTATAATTTATAATTTGAGTTTTTATTTTATCAAAGTGTTGTAGAAAGAAAATGTATAGTTTGCTCTAAAGATATTTACATTGATTCTATTTGCGTATAAGCAGTGTTTTTTGATTATACCAATTAACATTTAGAAAATTACCTTCAGTATTCATGTGCTGGTTATTATTGTACTAAAAGTTGAAATGATTTTAATGTTGCACAATAATGAACGAGAAGAGTCACTTAAAATCCATGTTTATCAAAGTGCATAGTTTTCTATATAAATGTGAAACAAATAGAAAACTCGAGAATTCGTCGATATTACTTAAGGCGATATTTTATTTCCAATTTTCTTGATGTCATATAACACTAGAAAATTTACAGTTTGGCCGAAATAATATAGGAAATTTAGATAAATGGAATAAATATTCGAAAATATGCATAGTACTTGAATTTTTAGATTATTTTTTCACAATATTCCTTAAATCAGCTTCATCAGTAAATAAAATAGAACATGTCAATGTCGTCTTTTATTTACTATTTAATAATATTAATATTATTAATATATTTAATATTAATATATTTAATAATTTAGAGCAATAAACTAACGGGCGTGGTTACATCCAAATTATATAATTCTTAGCTAGTTGCCATTTATAGATTGTTAATTTTAAACCAACATTCATTCATAACTAACTAATTGAGTAATCATTAATATAGGTATTAGTTGTAATAGGCTAATGCAGTATGAAATCAATAATAAGAGATATGGGAATATTTATTTACTTATATCAAATGGCAGGCGTTTTAATAGTTATCATTAGCCCTTTATTTGGCTTCAGGCTTCACAGGGGGGAAGGAACATCAAAGTGAAAAAAGTCGAGAGGGGGAAACAGAGGTTTGTCAAAGATGTAAAAGAGACAGACACAAAGGTATAAAAAGGTGAGGTTACTACTATGGAAGTAGTCGAATATGACATACAGTGTGGTGATGGTAGTGGTTAAGTTCTGGTAGTTTGAAGTGAGAAGTCAACTGCCGATTAAGGATCTTTTTGCCTTATGAGTATACGTTGCCCAGGGTGCACCACATTTTGCCGTATGAGTATGCGTTGCCCAGGGTGCACCACGTTTGTTTGCCGTATGAGTATACGTTGCCCAGGGTGCACCACGTGATAGACTTACTTGCCGTATGAGTACACGTTGCCCAGGGTGCACCACGTGGTGCCTTATGAGTATACGTTGCCCAGGGTGCACCACGTGGAGCCGTATGAGTAAACGTTGCCCAGGGTGCACCACGTGGAGCCGTATGAGTATACGTTGCCCAGGGTGCACCACGTGCCGTTTGAGTATACGTTGTCCAGGGTGCACCACCTGGAGGTAAGTCTATCGTGAGTATACGTTGCCCAGGGTGCACCACGTGGAGGTGTATGAGTATACATTGCCCAGGGTGCACCACGTGGAGGTAGCCGAATGAGAATACGTTGCCCAGGGTGCACCACGTGGAGGTAAGGTGTGAGTGTACGTTGCCCAGGGTGCACCACGGACTCTTTTGCCGTGTATACGTTGCCCAGGGTGCACCAGTTTGTTTGCCGTATGAGTATACGTTGCCCAGGGTGCACCACGTGATAGACTTACTTGCCGTATGAGTACACGTTGCCCAGGGTGCACCACGTGGTGCCTTATGAGTATACGTTGCCCAGGGTGCACCACGTGGAGCCGTATGAGTAAACGTTGCCCAGGGTGCACCACGTGGAGCCGTATGAGTATACGTTGCCCAGGGTGCACCACGTGCCGTTTGAGTATACGTTGTCCAGGGTGCACCACCTGGAGGTAAGTCTATCGTGAGTATACGTTGCCCAGGGTGCACCACGTGGAGGTGTATGAGTATACATTGCCCAGGGTGCACCACGTGGAGGTAGCCGTATAAGTATACGTTGCCCAGGGTGCACCACGTGGAGGTAAGGCTATCGCACACCCCAGATATGGGAATGTAATTCTATTTTGAGATACCCGTTCATTACTGTTTGATTGTTTCAAATTAAATCACAGAAAGTAAATGTGGAATAAACTTGTAAGATATTACTGCATTTTTTGTTCAATAAAGTGGATGAATCATGCAATAACTTTCCCGTTTTTTCTTTCTAGGTCTTCAAAATGGAAATTCCGTGGAATATGTATATTTCAGATTTTAAGGTGACGAATCTACTAATAAAAACAAATCTAAATCCCATTGGTTGAGATTTGAGGCCTTCAAAAAATTTTTAAATTTGATAAATAATTTGTTATTTTTCATGGGAACTGCTAAACTGTCATTCAAAGTATTATCTAATTCCACCCACGACAATTTTACCAAGTTCGTAGTCAATTTGAAGGGGAATGGATAGCAAAAGCCCTTTAAAGTAAGTTAAGGACTACCGTTTAAGGACTACAGTCCTAAATTCATGTATCTGACTACTTCAAAAGGGCATATTTCGCAATGTGTCCAATATACCAAAGCTATTTGAAGGCAAGTTTAAAGATAAAATAAGAAGCTTACTATAATCTAATGGTTCAAAAATTTCAACAAAGATTTATTTTTAGATTTCCATTGTTGATGCGTTTAGTTTTTTAATGATTACAATTTAAAGTATGGTCTGAACATGTTATTGAACGCTTCAACGAAAATTAAGTTTCGTCTAGCTTTTCTCTTTCAAGGCATCATTTGCTTTGACCAAATCACGCCGAAGTTCCTTAAATTGATTGTAGGTTAGTTCTAAAAAATTAAATCAGGTAGCAATAGAATTAATTTACCCAAGTAAAGATATTCATTTTTTATTTCGTCATAGTTGATGAGCAATTTGATTAGTATGCTTCTGGGCTGAATGCCTTGGAATACTTTCTAGAGTAAAATAGCTTTCATGACCTACCTAGATAGGACCAATCCACACTCTGAATACCCATTTCTTCTAATAATATGTCTTACTTCCAATTAAGTTGTTAGAGCACAAGAAATTAAATTGGCCTTGAGAACCGTGTGGAAAAAAATACAAAATTGAATGACACATATAAATTTTAATTATAAGATATTTGAAATGACTTTAAAATGGAATTCCAATTTTACTAACATAGTACCCTAGATAATTCTGCATTAAAATAGTCACTTCTGCGATTATACGTCACAAACACCATTTCACCTTTGGCTTCAACCTAAATTGTAAGATAGCACAGAATTGGTCAAAGTTTCCTTATTCATTCCGTAAAATCTCTTTAACTTTCATTATAATCCCCTTTTTGTGAATGGGAAATGGTAAAGCCAATAAGTTAGAAAAATTTGAGCTGCTCAAGACAGTTAGTTAGCAGTTTGGTAGTATCAACATGGAGGTTATTAAAATTTCGTGCTGTTCACTAAGGAAAAATTAATCAATTATAATTGTACAAACATAGTTCAGAAGCGGTAAATTATTGGCATTGCTGAAATAACTGTACTCCGATTTCTGCTTACTACTCAATAAATTGCATTAATTGCAGGTTGTCTTTTTCAAATCTTTTATAATTTAACTGATAAATTGTATATCCACATAGGTTATTGTGAGCCTTTCGTTAAATTTAGAGAATGGGAGTCCAAAAGATGAAAATCTCCACATGGAAAATAAGTTATATTCTAAAATCTATGAAAAATAATTTTATAAATCGGGACTGTGACATATTTGTGCATCAACTTAAACTTGTAACTAACCATTTATGATGACGGCTGTATGAGTGCTCGAATATGTTCTACACTCCTCGTGTCGATTAATTCTGTTTAAGATTATATAAGCCATAGAACTTATCATTTAATACTTACTCAAAAATGAAATTTGGTGATATAATAATCTTGACTTCATTCATTGATAATGAATGATAATGCATCAGCTTTAGCTAACATGGAAATGATTGCCAATACGTTCAAATTTAAAAATCATAATATATAACATGAAACGAGTGTTTTGATCAAGGGAAGGTCTAATTAGCAAAGCTTTATCATATTTCAACCTTGGATAAATATAGCACCCTTTGTTTTCATTACCTCGAAACTTTATAACCTCAACGCCAATTCAACTGTCATAGCAACATAAAAACTTCGAAATGAGACGAGAAATTAGAAAAAAAGCCAAAAAGCTAACTGTATTGATGTTGTATTATATAATCAATATTTAGCCAGAAGAGGCGAAAACAGAATTGATAAAAGCCAGTAGAGTACTTGAAATTGAAAGAAAAGTAAAAATTAGTTCACAGAATTGAATACCCATTAGGTTTTTGAAGATGAAATGAA